CCCTATCCATCCATATAACCCCGGAGGGCCAGGCACCATGTAAAAGCAAAGAGCTAAGGGAGGAACAGGGCGGCCCCTAAGCCCTGATCCTCCGAGTGGACCACATGCCCTGAACCTGTACGAAGGCGCCAACCTGGAACTCGCGGACAGTACCAGCAGCAGTGCTTACCGATTAAGCTAAGGTACTGTTGGTAATTTACGACGGGAAATTAAATCTCTTATAGTGAATAATTGAACTCATACGTTAAAAACCAAAAAGACACCAGCGGGATTCGAACCCGGGACCCCGCTAACCGTGGACGACGAATCGTAACCACTCGGCCATTTCGTTACCTTAGAATTTTCCTTAAACTGAGAAAAGTTGTCTTTATAGGTGAGCAAACGCGCCAGGAAGATTACTGGGTCCATTTGCTTTACCTTAATGGGTAAAAACAAGTCGATATAATGAGCCCAGTGTGTTTGGTTTGTTAGGAAGCTGCATAACACAGCCTAATGTGCAAAACAGTCGTGTGCTAGGCGGATCATTACGCAACAATGAACACCGCAATTGTGTATTTTCAAAAGGCAGACGCGTAGATTTCTACTCTTTGTATCTGGGCACATATAGATTCTCACCTTCCTCTTCAGCTATTTCGACTTTCTTAAAAAGAAAAATAGAGACTGTCAGCGAATCTCCGGGAGTTGAAATAAGGATCGTCCCCTCGATAGACCTCAGACTCAGTAAAGTTCAACATTGGGCTCTTTTTCAACAGCTGTTTTTGCGGAAACTTTACATCTGGATTTTTTAGAAGCATCTGATTTTGCCCAATTTTAGTCAAATATGCCCTAAATTTTTCTAAAAAAGCAAGATTAACCCCTTACCATTTTAGATCTTCATACAAATCTGATTTTGCCAAATTTTACTAAATATACAAGGTACACCTCTTACAATTTAAAATTTTTCATAAACATTTCTTTTTGCCCAATTTTGCTAGAAATACAAGGTTTAGACCTAACAATCTGCAATTTTCCAGAATCATCTGATTGTGTCCTAATTTGCTTTTAAAAAATGCAAGGTTAACCCCTTACAATTTGAATTTTTTTCATGAACATCTAATGTTTCCCAATCTTATTCAAAAAGCAAGGTTAACCCCTTGCAATCTGCAATTTTCCAGAAACATTTGATTTTTTCCCATTTTCGCTTTAAAAAAATGCGAGGTTAACCCCTTTCAATTTGAAATTTTTCGTAACATCTAACTTTGCAAAATTTCACTAAAAAATCAAGGTTTATCCCTTACATCTGAAATTTTTCGGAAACATCTGATTTTGCCCAATTTCGCTAAAATATGCAATGTTCACCCCTTACAATTTGAAATGTTTCATAAACATCTAACCCCATACAATCTGCAATTTTCCAGAAACATCTGATTTTTCCCGATTTTGCTGACAAAAATGAAAGGTTAGCCCCTTACAATTTGATTTTTTTCATAAACATCTAATTTTGCCCAATTTTACATCAGCTTATGCTAACAAATTATCAGGTAACTGGATCATTAAACGGGACAGGTGCACATCGGCCTTGGAGCTCAGACCATGTGTCATGCACTCCTCAATGCATAGATGATGCACATAACACTATGGGTAGTACAGGCACAGCTGGGGGTACTGCCCAAACAATGATGAACGCATTGCGTATGCTTAAAGAATTACCCACAATTCCGGTTTTTACCGTTTTGGTCTGGCTCTAATCACTTTACGCGATCCCCTGACGTCTCATACACTGACTTTAGGCAAAATAGTCAGACTTTCGCGGTCTAGTAGCCAGACTTTGACTCTTAACGAAACATCGAATGAAAAGGGAAACATCAAATGCATATTGCAAAAGATCGAATGCAAACATACCGATGAAACATCGAATACAAATAGCTCGAAATGTCAAACATATGTGTAAAACATTGCTCACATATTTGAGAATATCGCAAATATATTGTAAAACAACACACACAATTGTATCGAAAAACATTGCACATTTAATGCAAAAAAAATCGAAAATAATATTGAAAACATCGCACATATATATCGTCAAAAACATCGCACATATAATTTGAAAATCGCATATAAATGTAAAACATCGCACACATAATTTATATTGAACATCGCACATATATTGTAAAACATCGCACAAATATATTAAACATCGCGCAAATAATGAAAAACATCGCATACTTATATTGAACATCGCACATAAATGTAAAAGATAACAAACACATATTGAACATCCAACATATATATTGCAAAATATTGAATATTGCAACGTTTGACACGCCATATTTTTGATGTTAAGAGCAGTTATTGGGTTATTGGGGGCGCTCTTTACAGTTGGCAAGCTCCCAAATCCGTGTAGAGGATGTAGGTTATATATATTTCCCGGACAAAATAGTAAACAATTATTTGATTCGGTTACTTTGAAAAAACTGGCGTTTTATGTTCAAATACATGCAAAACTACTGCTTTTTGTTGGACTTGACGATCGAGGCAAAATATTTTGTTGGGATCTATCTAATAACACTTGATTAGTCTTGTCCAAGTTTTTCCTGTAAAATGTTTTAGACCTAATAATGGTATAGGGCCTAGGCCTTGGAGAAATATATGCTTCTTTCCCTTAAACGTAGTGTAATAGTAAAAAATATATATTTATATCATCTAATTTATTTGGTAAGTTGTTTTAAATTTTCTTCAAACATCTTCTGACCCCACACCACCCAGTACCGACGGCGCGCATTATGTGCACTCACGTATGATCTAGTTCACGCCTAAGCGATGTTTTCTCCTCATAAAGTAATGTTCAACTTGTGACGGAAAAAAACCTACGGTACTAACATTTCTATTTTGGGCGCCTGCAATCTCTGAAAGTTTTTTTTTTAATTTTTGGTTGCTTTGGATCAAGGATCATCAAGATCCACCCTGCCCCCAAGATCGTGGAACAACGAACCAACCCCCTCGGCCATTCGGCTACCTTAAAATTGTTATTACTGTTTTCGAGTATCACCCTGAAAAATAGACTTTGTTTTTTTTAACTTGCTTTTTAGCAACACTAAAGTTATTTACTTTCGAATTAGCCATTGAACAAAAAAAAACCACCCACGATTAGTTATGGAATAATATTATTTACCACAAATTTAATTTTTTTTGTTGCGGCCAAGTCATTTTAGTCGGTTGTTTTGTGTGCCGTTGGCGCAAAAGCAAGTAAAAGCGTATTAATAGTTTCAGAAGGTTGAAAAATGACAAAATAGAGTAGCTAATTCGGTTTAAATAAAACATACAAATGAAAAATTCGTTAGGGACAAAAACAAAAATCGAATTTCATGTTGAAAAATACAGGAAGAAACATTTGACAGAATTTAATTTTCTTTTAATACGTCAGTCTGGTGAGAATGCAACACAAATGAAGTGCATACACTAAATATATCCGCCTGAATTATTGTTGGCGGGGGGGGGGAGGGGCGCAAATACGACATTTGAAAATTCGTTATTCCTTACAACTAAGCGTGGGTGGATATTTTTGGTCCGATGTCTCAATAAAAAGTGTATTTGTATTGTTGGAACAATAAACATTACTTTGTCGGGATGACTGTCTCGAAAATAGCATGGAAAGTAGGCCTATGATCTGTGATTATATAGTGTCTGAGGCAAACTTGTCAACGATTTCGATTAACAGATGCAGTTGCAGAAGCCGACGGAATGAGGCGCAAAGAAAAAGCTGTCTTAATAAAAGTCTTAATTCCTACTATTCTTTCCTCGGTGGTTTTACCTCCACAATGCAACTGGAATGATTTCCCTATTAATAATTACCGCCGTAATGGGTCACTTGGGAGACATTCCCATAGACCTGTGCACAATTTTTTTTCCCCAGTCACTTAAATGTATAACCCCAATTTTACCTCACCCTACCCCACGAATGTTACAGTGGCGTATCAAGAGAGGGGGGGGGGCATGGGGAACCTTGGCCCCTGGTGTTTTTTTTTCGAAAGAATTTTAATTTGTTGTTAGTAATTATCCCATAAATGGTTACAGAATTTTGCCATCATCCCCAAAAAAGGAAACCAGCTCAAAAGCATTACAATGGCCCGTGAAAATGGGCATATCTATATATTGCATATGTCCAGTATGCACAATATAATCATCGTTTTAAAGAGCTGCCCAACTTGGAAGATGGGTACCCGCTTTTTGATTTTACGGAGGTCTAGTGTCCGGAGAAAAACCCTGGATTGTCTACATTTCGGCGCGGATGTGCGGTTGCCCCCCCCCCGACATCATGGTATATTTATGATTTGGACCACGAGCAATCGATCTAGCCTATTAATGGTGATATTAAAATTTTGCCTCCAAGTAGGAGCTGCGGCAGGGAAACATAGAAATTTGTCCACAGTGTGGGCCCTAAGGTATAATTTATGACGGCAAAATGTCTCCTTGAGTACAGTTGAACAGGTGTATGAACCTGTTTGCCGCGCACTCAGTTATAGGGAGTGTCGCGCCGCATTTATTTGCTTTCACCGTAGCACAGGCCTAAAAGGGATACCTCGGCGTTTGGGGAGGGGGGAAGGGACTAGCAATTCAGTATTGCTTCGGTAATTGTACTTCAAGCGCTCGATGATTCACTATAGAGGAGTGAATTATTATTGTTTTAATTTATAAATCATTAATTATGAATTATTTTTAATTTATTTATAAATCATTCACCGGGCGGACTTTTCAACTGAGGGACGGGTTTACGTACGCGGTGCTGTTTCGACTCGAATTTGGCGATTTGACTATGGTTCAGACGATGAAGTTCACTTGTTTTATTGTATGTACAGGACAAACGGAGGTCTTCCGCCATGATTCAACGGGACAGCGCCACCATGCGATATGAATGTGAGGCACTTGATATTAAAGCTAGCTGGTTCAGAACGAATTTGTCATTGTCAACCGCGATAAGAATTTCCCGAGTACCAGTGATACATTGCAATGTATGTATGTGTAATGTGTATTGCGCGCGCTGTATGCAAAATGCACGCACAATCAGCTAGCCAGGAAGTGTCGTACCCGTGAAAATGACAGTTTTCCCCGCTTGATCGGTTGACGGAACATACTTATTCTGGATTTTTTTGGATATATTCAGTATTCCAGGGTGTACTGATGCGCTAACAGAAAGACCATGAATTCAAGACTTGTACAACATCGAAATCCCTTGGAGGATTTTGAACTGTTACAGAGAATTGGAAGTGGAACTTACGGCGATGTGTACAAGGTAAAAATCATACCGCCTCACCGTCCGTGCGTTGCGGCTTGAGGCATCGATGTTGTTGATACATTCTTGTGCACAATTTATAATGCTGTCTGTCATGTCTGTGGCGCCTATTTTCGACAGGGGAAGTGTTGGAGAGTGTTTCACCGTTGCGAATGTTTGGATGTGTGGGCTTTTTACAATTTGGCTGAACTGAAGTGCAATAAAACTAAGGGTTTAACTTTAAAAACAAAAATGTTGAATGTAGACCTTAGCGTTCTTTGATTTTGTCATGTTTATTTTGGACTGTCATTAGTGTCAACTGTGACTTGATGAGTCTGCACAGCCGGCCATGCAAAATTGGGTCATCACTTTTTACCATGAAAATGAAATACAGACTCAACTATGTCAAACTGGTCATGATTAGCATTAGAGCCTACTGCCTACTGGGCCTACATTGTATTGTGAACCTCACATCACTTGTTCTGGTTGTTGCTTGTGTTTCCTGATTTTTTTTCCATTTGATATTTGCTGTGAACAACGGTGGATGCCAGGCCTAGGGTAGCCCCATAAATGTGGCCAATTTACTGGATAAATAAAGGCCATACTTGGAACATGCACCCGAAAAATTATAGCGATAGAAAAGTAGTCCTGCATTTTTCAGATGTCTATTTTTGTGTGTAATTTCCAGGTACATTTGCACATATTTGCGTATCTAAATTCCAACACAAAATTACACGTAAAATAGACATCTGAAAAATGCAGGACTACTTTTCTATCGCTTATTATTAAGAGTGTGAGTATGCTTCTAAAGTGATAAACTACAAATAAAGTCCAAATGTGAAAATCATAATTTGACAAAAGTTCTACATTTTCGGGTGCATGTTCCAAGTGTGGCCTATATTTGCGAAGGTATGGTAGTCCAGTAAATTGGCCACATTTATGGGGTTAGGCCTGGGGTAAAAAAAGGGGAGCGGAAAGAATGTTGCAACCTGATGCTTTCATTCTTGGACTAAGTCTATGAAAATTTTACTTGAAAATTACAGGAGAGGCATAGAATTTAATCTTTTCCTGCTTTGATGTTGTGGCTAACAATATGGAGGAAGTGCTAAGTATTTGAGTCACATTTATCATGTTTATGGGGCTAGGCCTATAGATAAATATATCATGTATTCAATGCAAAAATCTTGAAACAAAAATGGAAATTTAGATAAAAGAAAGAAATTTGAATGTTCAAAAAAGATATTGGTGATTATCAGTCTTTTCAATTTAATGCTAACCCTAACCTTACCAAATCCTCCAAAATCCGCTTTGCAAAATGGAGGATGTTGCAGGATTGAGCGAACATACATTGTAGTATATGGCAAAAATGTGTGGCTGAGTTTGGAGGATGCATTGTGCCAAGGTCTTGGGCCGGACCTTGTGTTGTTTATCCGCAGCCATGCATACATACATCATTTACATGTACTCTTGATTATACTTGAAATCCTCCGCACTGCTCTAAGATGTCACTGGCTTTGCCTTAACATACATGTACATGTATTGACAGTGATTGCTGGAGGATTTTGCAGGATTGAGGCAGTGTTCAACCCTCCAAGGACCACATTCAAGAAATAATGGATTTGATTTTGGAGGGTTGAGGCTGAATGCAATTTTTACATGGAGGCAATTGGAGATTTCTCAGGATTGAGGTTGCATCCTAGCAAAAAAAAAAGGTAGTTAGGGTTATGAACACATCTAGGCCTCTACATGTATGTATATTTGGCTTAAGAACTGAGACCAGTTTCCTTTCTTCTTATTTTTTTTAATACAAATATCTATCCAAGTTTATACATTTTGCCAAATTTACGGATTGGAGACATTGTTAATACTTAATTATCAATTTTAAATTTTAATTTTTTGTTAATGAAGAAAATATTATTGAGGGTCAGTACAAGACGCCCTACAGTGTACCGTATGACTAATTTCATTTGTAAACAGAGGTCGTACATGTACATGTAGGTCATGTGCTTGATCTATGTTATCATTATTATGCTAGTGCGGTTTCTTGATGTGGTATCCAAAAAAAGGAAATAGTAGTGAGCCAAATATTTACATACCGGTTGATGTAAAATGCCCTGACTCAGGCTGACTGGCATTATGCAAAGTTAAGTGAAATGATTTACATAATCTGTTAAACTGTATACAACAATCAGTCAGATTGAAGTCTAGGATGTACACGGTACGTGTACAAATAATGACTAAATCCTGACATGCGCAAATCATACACCGGGTTTTACATTGTGAAATGGATTCAGGACTGGAACGACTTGGCGCCACAATTTTACATCTGGCATGATCATTGATGTCTCCTTTTTTTTCATGTACTGTACCATGTACAGTTGTACATGTACAATGTACATGTACATCATGTACTGGCTGTACATGACACTACATGAAGACAAAATACATGTACGCACAGCAGTTGCTTGTACTGGTACATAAAAGGCCTTTTCACACTGTCCAAAATCTCCGGGTTGGAACCGGTTCCAACCCCGAGATTTTTTTCAACCCTTTTCCCACTTCTAACATTTCAACCCGGTTCCGACCCGGGTAGCGTGCTCTAGCCGGATCGAAATCAACCCTGGGAGGGACCAGGGTTGAAAATCTCAACCCGGATCGAAATTGCATTTTTCGGCCTGAACCGTGTCGAAAATGACAGTGTGAACCGCCCGGGGTTGAGTCACTCACGGCCGATCCGTGTTGAGTTGAGGCCGACATTTTACCGAAAATCTGACACGCCGTGCATAATATTTCCCTCCACCACTATCGCCGTCACAACACCGATCATGAAACAATTGCTCCCTAATTATCATCCAATAATGTATCGGTGTATGGAGCATCCTTTACCGAGTCTGGGCTTGTATTAGGTCTGCAAAATGTACCCCAAAAAAGTACATTTCTAATGTTAAATAGAACGAATCGTCTAACGAAATGACCGGAGCCATTTTGGAAATATTGCACACAGCTGCGCTGGTGTCGTACAAAAATCGGACTCCCAAATCGGATTCCTTTACTCTCTTATTATTGGCCAAACCCTTTCACGTGACAGGTCCTTCTCCTAATAGGCATGCGCAATACTACCAATGAGTCCGTATTTCACAGAGTAGTAAATTCACGCTGAACACCGGCCTGTCCGTAAGCCTCGTGCGCGCAGCAGCCGCGTGCGTCGCAATGCATTATGGGATTGAGAAAATCATCGCAGCGCCCTGTGCCGAATGCGATCCGTGTCGAGAATTTGTAGTGTGAATACACGTGGGCCGTAGCCGGATTGAACGTTACACGGTTCACGTAGCGGCCGTTCCCGTAAAGGACAGTGTGAACGTCGCGTCTCTCCGATCCGTGTCGAAAAATACTCGGGCTGAACCGGGTTGGATCCGGGTAGGTTTCAACACGGTTCGAAACGGAGATAGTGTGAAAAGGCCTTTACATACATGTACGTGTTCAGTATACACACTGTACATATGTGTACACAACGTACGGTACATGCAGTACATGTGATATACTTGTATAGTACATTTAATTATTATTCTGTTTCCTTAAAAAAATAACACCACCAAGTCAGCATCCACTAATGTGGCTGATGAGACCGGCTTACAATAACTCTTAGGAATTCTATCATTGGAATTTAGAAGAGATCATGTATATATTCAAGTTTTGGATTCAAACTTGTGAACTCTCTCAGAAATCTCACCTCAGAAATCAATTTGTACGGGTAGAAAACCTTAGTCTGACTATCACCCGTTATCAACGGAGCCAAGTCCTGTATATAGACATGCAGATATATGCAAGCTGCGTGCCAGCCAATTGGAGTCGACTTTACTAAATCTTGTTGCATTCCATTCCTTAATCAGGACTAAATGCTGTGATTGATCAGTTCGAATGCAGTGTTTTGTAATACAACAACAGCCGGACGCGATATCGCGTAACATGATACAGAGCGCGTGACAATTTTTTTTATCCATTGTCTATGACGCGCAACGGGTGAATGACCGAAGGCGCCCGCTGATTGGTCAAAATCTAGGAGGTCAAGAGACAGGGTCTTGCCTAATTAATCAATGAATCTGTTCGCGCGTTTAGACCATGGTGTTAGACTAAGAAAACTTAGGGACAGTAGAGCATCGTACGTAGATAAAAAAAATATATTGAACTTCTTTTGTCATTCTACATACTCCAACAAATTCATACATTCTACACTATGCATGTAGTAGACTGGTTTCTACATGAAGACAAATAATTTAATGAGTTGACATGACATTTGTGGCTCACCAATAATGTGAAGGCGTTTAACAGTTTGCATGTGATTCATCATTGGGGCGGCACAATGACTCACTGTGTAGCATTCATCACTGATGCATCTTCCTTGATTCATGATAAAGAATGCATCGTGTACATTATTTTCATGTGCACCTTAACATGACAGTGCATGCAAGTTCTTCAACACTACCGGTAGTCAGTCACCAGATATTCAAACTCTTGTTTAATTTTGTTATTTTAGTTTTTACTTTTAGTTATTTGCTTATTTTTTAAAATAAAAATACAACTTGATTTTATTTGAACTCATTATGAGGTCATTCCGAGCTAATGTACATGTATGGAACTTAGTGAGAGCATGGAGGTAGGAATAGAGGTCTGGTTTCAGGGGACAGACTCTAATTTGGATAAAGTTTAAAAATAAACTCAGAAATGTATCATTTCATCATCTGAAAACACATTAAAATTTAGTTACCAATGCCAGGTCATTGCTGTTGTGGTTCAAAATGGTATTTGAGAAATGTATACTACCGGTACATGTACATGTACGGTATGAACAGCCCTGCCCCCATTGTCCCAGGTTCATGTCCTCCTCATGTTCCGGTACATGAATCAGTGACATGCATTCCCTGGAAAATCACACAAAGGTTAGACTGCAGCCATTTGTTTTTGCTGACATTACATGTATGTAATTTGAATGTTACTTCACAAAACATGTACGTTGACATTTACATGTACATGTATGGACAAACATACATCAGTACAGTACATTGTATAAACTAATCCGGGCACGCTGCCAAGTCTAGCATGGAGGCCCCTTTCAATGGTAATTTTGTGCTTCATCTATTAAGATTTATAATGTTATGGGGCGGTGGCTTTGCACAATAACTTGCACAGTGCTATCGCCATTTGAAAGGGGCCTCTTTTGTGTACACAATGATCACGAGTCTGGATTCTTCTATACAGTGTCAATGTATTCATGTAAACAACCCGGAAGGAAAGAAAAATGTTGGTTACAGTACCCGGTACTTTTGATGGGGATGTATTGTGAACTTCATGCACTAACCCTAACCTTCCAAAATCCTGTTTGCAAAATTGAGGATTTGCAGGATCAAGGCTATATGGTAAAAATGTGTGGCTGATTTTGGAGGATGCACTGTGTCAAGGTCTTGGGCCTGACCTTGTGTTGTTTATGCTCAGCCGTGCATAAATTTAGGCCTAGATTATACTTGAAATCCTCTGCATTGCTCCAGGATGTCACTGCCTCTGCCTCAACGTACTGACTGATTGCTGGAGGATTTTGCAGGATTGAGGCAGTGGTCACCCTCCCAAGGACCACATTCAAGAGATAACGAATGATTTTGCAGGATTGAGGCTGGATGCAATTTTTTACATGGAGGCAGTTGGAGGATTTTGCAGGATTGAGGTTGCATCCTAGCAAAAATGCCTAGGGAGTTAGGGTTATTGACAGAATTCTTAAAACTATCTTATTTTTTTTTTACAGGCCAAAATGGTTGCCGATGGCAACCTTGCTGCTTTGAAGGTCATCAAGGTGGATGCAGGCAAGTTTTTGCTCTTTTTTAACTTTAACTTTTTGAAATTTATCAATTTTGTTTTGTTTTTGTTTGTGTGAACTTTAAAAAACATTTCACGAAGTGAAGGACAGATCTGAAGAGTGCAGTAACGCATGTTGCATTGAATTTTGGGACAGTTTCCCTGACAGTGGGGGATTAATCCACAATGCAGTGTGAAAAAAAAACAACTTTTGGGCAATGGGAGACTTTTGAGACAATTGGTGGCAGCAAATACACCGGTCCTTATCAGTTTTTTACGTCATGTTTAAGCGAATGTGCACATGCCCAAAATGACGCAAACAGTGTAAAAGGAGCTGTGTGTTTGCTGCCACCAATGTCTCAAAAGTCTCCCATCCCACGGTGACTCGCGTAAAATTTGGAACGCGTCTTCTATCAACTCGGTGCTGGTATTCTATAAAGTCGAACCATTTAGCGTGGATTTTTCCCCCAGAAGATCCGTTGAAATTCAGGAAGTTCTACAACAAGAAAGGGCCAACAAAATGAGCTTCTATTGGTTTGGCAATACGTTTTGTACATGTATGGATAATCCATGTTACACAGAAAGGACATTGAAACAATTAAGTTTCAAATACATTTTCTTTGAATTTGAAAGTTTTCTTCGTACTCTGCACTGATGTAAAAATAGTTTTAGTGCCCTTACATCATAAGGGTATAAGTCATATTCTACCGTTATAATTATTAAAAAAATAATCAATTGTGAAATTTCTAGAGGGATATATTTTGGTAACTCAAGTTATATGATAACTCACGTAACAGTTTGTCTACCCGTCTGCGGTACAAGTTTAAACATTTAAGAAACTAATAATCAATCCAAAAACTCTTTGGGGCATAGAATACGACCCTTTTCTCTTCCTTAAAAACAAAAACCCACTATAAACTTGCATTTTGCTTAGTGCAAAAATGCCTACCTAAAATGCATTAAGGGATCAGTTTTGTGACTGGTCAAAAAATACCTTTAACCATATTCCATCTCACTGGCTCATCATTCAAATGAAAGGTCTTTCTGTACCCGTTATTTTGATACCATATTTCGGGTTGTGGCACTTGTAATGTTAAAGATCACCTTTTTTCAGCCGTGTCCACTTTCTCATGGAATTACCCCTTACCACATATAAGTTACTTCCAGGATGGAGCCATCTGTGAAAGGTTCTCCATGTGTATGTCTACCACATTTTCGTACATGTACCAAACATGCGCAACTTTGCAAACACATCCCACCTGCATCCTATTGAAAACATACCATTGAAAACATGCAAGATAATTGCCCGATATTGATGGTTTCACTCCAAATCTGCAGCGGACGATGTGGAGATAATCCAGAAGGAGATTGCCATCATGAAGGAGTGTCGTCATAAGAACATCGTCATGTACTTTGGCAGCTACTCACGGCGAGATAAGCTGTGGATCGCCATGGAGTACTGCGGGGGTGGATCGCTGCAAGACATCTATCACAGTAAGTCGACCCCGCTCTTACCCCACACAGGATAGCTGTTAAAGCTATAGTCCATCATTTGCAGCCATCCGAAAAGTAACTGGCGTAATTATTGTTGAAAAACATACTTGGTTGAAAGATAGTAAGTGGACTAAACTCCCTGTGAAGTTATTCTTTCTGGCAAGCTGTCATTTTGAAGTAATCAACGAAAGAAGGCCTTTCCAACGGTGCGTCTTAAGATGCACCGTAGGAAAATGTAAATTAGTAGAACTTTCGTTTTGTTATTCGGCGAAGCGCGCGCAAGCATTGGCACGACGCACACACGCGTGCGGTTGCTATAATTCGTCGGATCAGTGCGCGACATCGCGTAGCTGCAATTGGCTCAGTGAGAACGTGTCTCGGACGCTAGGATTCAGGCCCAATTCAAAACATGATTCAGCAACTTTTGATTTGAAATTGAGATCCTAGAATGCTGTTTTTCTCGGAATATACAGCTGAAACTTCATCAGGTTAGTTGTTCAGTATCCTTCATTAGATTTTGAACACCTTTGTTGCTTCAAACGAACAAAATGCACAAATTACAAATGATGGACTATATCTTTAAAACTCCTGAACAAGCCATCCAAATCCACCCCCCTTAACCGGTTCACGTCGGATGACGTGTTAGCACGATTTGGCTGTTTTTATACACAGGCACGGCTGACGGGTTAAAACGTCAAGCGTGCCACGACTCGCCTCCGGGTGACATCTAAACACGCTAATCCCTCCTTTGTTTTGTACACAAACACAAAGTCCGAGAGGTCTGTGGAGGCGAACTGTATTGACCTTGAGCCTGTGTGTTGACCTTGAACTGGGCCGCTGTGCACGGCCTATTCTACAATTAACGCTCCGTGAGCACGCCCCGGAGTGTTGAAAAACATGACGTTTTGGCAAGAAATATCGTACAAATACTGTTGAAAAAACTTTTGCGAATCAGTATTTGTGGCATTTGGTTGTATATCAGAAGTTGGCTGCTTACTTTGCCTTTTTCGAAAATCGAAATTTTTTGGCAAAAATAATTCTGTTCGGAAGTGGTTAATATGTACATGAAACAGACCACAAACAAAAAACAGGGAATATAAAACAACATAAAAAGGGAAGGAAGGAAGTAAAAGGACAAGAAGTATGTATATTCAGAGAAAGCCAACATTCAAGGAAGCCTGCAAAACTGAAAATTCTGTTTATAATTTCCAAGTTGAACAAAGAAGTAGAGCGTGTTTTTTGGCCTAATGGTCATGGACAGTATAGACCCTGTTCACAAGGAAGTCATTTTGGATCGTGTTCCCTGAATGTATTTTGCAATGAATAGGATGGTGCCAGACTATTTTATGCATTCTGGACAAGCCTCACTTTCAATTTCATTTTAGATGTGGCTTAAAACATTATGGTACGTTTAATCACTAATTTTGCATGTAAATTGCTCATCAGAGCAGACTGGGGTTAATTTGTAATGAACTTTATGTCATTGCTTTCGTTCTATTCGCAAGTTCCAAAAATGAAGATTTTACCTTGTATTTAACTCTCTTTTTTTTTCAATTCAAAATAATTTCAAATTTTACAATTTTCTTTTTTAAATGGAAATGTAAAAAATTGTATTCCAAGAACTGTGTTTTTTTTTTAATTTTGAAATCAAGATACTTTAACAAAAAAATTCTATTGAAATAAAAAAAAATGTATGAATGACTGAAAAGATTGTTTCCTGCAAACATTGCCAAATTAAGAACAATGCCCATTTGGTGCAATTTTTTACACTCAAAAATCAAGTTTTTCTCAAAAGTGATACCACAATTTGAAGCCGCATACTACCGTACGCCCATTTGGTGCAATTTTTTACACTCAAAAATCAAGTTTTTCTCAAAAGTGATACCACAATTTGAAGCCGCATACTACCGTACCTACGGACCATGTACCGGTAGCAGTGTTCAAACCTTAGATGTAGTGGGTGTTGAGCGACCTTCTTATTTAGAGGGCTTTCACAACTTTGCTCCTAGTCTATTGCTTTCAATTTAATAATGGCCGACTCGTGAATATACATTGTGTAAAGCCTATTGCTTGAACCTTATTACCAGTACATGTGCATGGATGTGTCAGTAATTAGCATGTTTGCTGTGCAGTGATCCAACATTCTGTGAATGGTATACATGTACCGGTATGTGCAATATAGAATTAATAATGTTTCTCAGAATACATTATACATCTCGGGTATGTACATGTAGTGCATGTTCATGTACATGTACATGTACATGTAATGTATACATGTACGTCAATACACAAAGGATGTTTACAGATCCTGAAGAATGAAGGTCATTGTATACCAATACATCCGTATGTTTGAGCAACAATTTACAAAAAAATAAAATTTATGCACAAAAGCACAAAATTGTGTAGAACATTGCAGACAGTTCATGAAAAGTGTATGCAAAGGCAGCTGCACTGTAAGAAATCATTTTCTGTCTTTTCTCTGTGATCTACATTGTAGGTTTATGGTTATCACAAATGCTGCAACATGAACTGCATGCCGGCAACCCGGCATCCTAACAATGTTTCCTTGTCAGGGTTAGTGCCCTGGGCAGTGCAGGGTTAACCTCTGCTACACTACACGTACATGCCTTGACACAGCTGATACATTAAAATACAATACATTATGTGCAGTGCATATTAATTACGAATACCGGTACGGTACATGTAACTTTACTGGTACAAAACAAAATGTACGTGTCATGTTCATCCCAGAACATGTACATGTACTATGTGCAGAGTGTTGCCCATTACAGTGATTCGTCGTGTGCTAAGTTTGATTAATTATATCTCTGTAAATGTAAGGAAATTTTAAGTTCATGCTGTGGGCCTATATATTTCAGGATTAAAAGATCTATGATCTGCTTTACTTTTGTCATAAATTTGTTATTTAAGTGTTTTACACTGTAAATTCAGTACACATGCACGTACATGTATGTACACGACATAATTTATGAACTTGACTCAACATTTAATTTTCTTTTCTTGTTGTGCACATTTAATTCTTGGAAGTAAAAGCTAGCAGAACCTGTCAAATTGTTCCCCTGCTGCATCGGAATTGTCCCAACAGTACACTTTCAATGAAAATCACATGTACAGTACCGGTACATGTACGTGCAGTTAAACGAACAAAGAGCGTGCAGTAAATGAACGTGCAGTACATTTATAAACATAACCTCATACGGGTATGTACATGTACATGCACATGCACATGTGTACATGACATGTTCAATGTACATGCATGGTATGAGGCTATACATGTACATGTACATGTAAAGTGGTATGAAAAATGGATTTTGACCTTTGCCATTCTACATTGTACTGTTTTGCTCCTGTTGCATGTCGGTAGAGGTTTTATTGTGTTTACATGCGATGTTTAAACACACATCAAGCACAATGAATTTATTGTGTTACACAATACATTTTGTTACTTCGTCAGCATAGCCATCTTTCAATAGAGGATACTCAGAACTCTGGAAATTAAGTTTATACATGTAAATGTTCTTGAATGTAAGAGTGATTGCATACAAAGTGTAAATTAAAAAAAAAAAATTGCGAACTCAGAAATTCTGTGAAATAGGTCACATCTTCCATCAGTTCTCAGAAACAGTATCAACAACACGTCAAGCAGATGCGGGTTCATCATTCTTGGAAGGAAAATCCATGAGAGTTTGAGACTACTTCATGTCGCTTTTGTAGGTCTCTCCACTCTAAGCTTCATGATCCATTAAACACTCTGATCCGAAAAGCCAGCAGATAGCAATTGTCAGGCTCATACGCAGGTCAGCCTCGAGACTTACGCACAGTGTGGCACATGTATACATACACAAACCATGGTGATTTGTGGATTCTCCCAGCATCTGTGGCCCCACCTCCGGTTAGTCTGCAGTCACGGTCGAGGAATGCCAAACGTCAGAAAATTTCAGGGAAGAACTGAGCTGTGTGTTTACTCATTGGCAACGTCTCACTGATGCAGCAAAGTGGACATCTGTCAGCCAATATGACCATCTTTCAAAACTGCTTCGGCGCTGAAAGTATGCTCGTAGGGTAAAAAAATGGTATGCCTGTCACTAAGAAACAATAATTTGATAAAGGAACATAACCATTCGATAGACTTTTTTATTCGCAAACTGCCAGCAGCTGATTTGTTGCATTTTCAGCGACGCCTGTATGGAGTTTACAATACAAAGGCCTGTGGCCAAATAAAAAAAAAAATGTTTAGCGTCCTGCCTTTTTGAAAAAAAAGGAATGAGGAGACCCTTTTTTTTTTCCCCCTCAAAAATGGCCGCCCGACCAGGCTTTTTCTCAAGATAACCGCCAGCTTTTTTTAAAAAAAGGCCGCCACTTTGACTCAGGAAATGACATACCAGCTTTATTATGGCCTAGATGCAACAGACAAAGAGGCATAAATGATGTCACTGCTTTCGGTTAAAAAAAAAGAAAAAAGAGGCGGCCTTCAAAAAGGAAGTAGGCGGGGACCCTAAACATGTTTGTTTTTTTTATTTGGCCTATAGTTTACTAAAAATCCAGTATGCCTGTCAAAACAACTATGTGTACATGTGTATACGTAGTCAGCAATCAATGTGTTAAAATTGCCAAGAAAAAAAGGAAGTCTTCTGAAAAAAATACATGTGCATCCACACTGCTGGTATGTATCGCTTCTTGGAACGAGGTGAACAAGCTACAGTAAAATGCATACATGTTGGAAAAAAATTAACTTGGGAAAAAAAGTTCACAACACAAATTTCAACATTCGTACATGTACACGTTGTATACAGCCAGGCTGTTTTGATGACATGTATGCTGTACCGCGTAGCCTTAGTACACGTTGTATCTTTGCAGGTTTTGTTGGTCCCGTTTTCCTTTTCATATTAATTAAGTTTACACCTCTCAGATCGGGCCCGATGATCTGGTGAACCGGTAAAATCGGAAAGGTGTGCGGCGAGCTTCAACAAATTGTGAAA